TGTGGAGCAGGTAGAATTTCTTTTGAAAAGAAATTCATTCCAATTTAATTCTAGCTAGTGAAACTGATGCTAGGAAATCTAAAACGTGCTTTAACCCAGACCACAGTTCAATTAAATAAATCCCATCCTCTAACAGGAGTCAAGAAAGCAAAGGGGAGAGAGTAATGCAAACACCGTTGTCAGTGAGGGCTCTGAACTGTTGATAGCTTGAAAAGGGGGTTAGTCCATCCGGAGGTTAATTCCACAGCAATTCCAAGTGAATTGGGGGTGGGTAAAAAATAAAAGGTTAATGTTAGTATTAGATATTGGAAATTTACATTTCATTTGTATCAAAATAAGCCAAACCTCTTTCAGGCAGCAAAAATGAAGGCAGGTTCTTGCCCCTACTCTTTTGCCTCCATGTTGTCTCTCTTGGTCTAGAGACTAACTCTCTTCAAAGAAAACAAAAAGCTGCATTCACAAGGTCCCTTGCAGCTTGAATGTCCTTCCGTGGTCTGTAGAAGAAGTCAGGATAATCTCAGGAAGGAGAGCTGCACTTCAGATTCACCATATTTAAAGTTCTGTGTTTCTTCTCCCCCTGTCCTCCTTCCGTTTGGTTTGCCTACTTTCTTTCCTCCTGAAGGAAAAAGTCGCTCTCATCCCCAAGGAAGTTACACTTCCTCCAACAATGAACACAACAAATCTTGCCTTTATTCATTTAAGGCATAAAGCTGGTTCTCTTTACAAAACCTCTGTTTTTAGTAAACCCTTGTTAATATGCATTCATGCAGGAAAATATGCTGCAGACAGTGCAGTCAAAGCTGCTCATCTGCAGAGATTTGCTTTCTCAGTAGTATCTGTGTGTATATAATACAACTCTTTGGTATGAGTTTTCAAATAACACGCACCCAGCGGCACAGATACTGTTGTATCCATTGTTTTCCTGGAAGGATTCATAAAAGACTAACACTGTTTACCTTTAAGGACAGAGAAGAGGGCCGGAAGAAACTTTCACTTTTTATTTAGTATTTCGGTACTGCTTGAATTTTCTAACAATGTATTTTTATTTTTATTTTATATAATGACATGATTTTTATGTTTTCATAACAGTAAAAAAAGGATTATCTGAACAATTGGATTACATGTACTGTTTTTTCTTTTCTTCTCCGTCTTTTTATAAATTTATTTTTATATTAAAAAATAAAAGGCAAGTGTTAATGCAGATGAAAGCTGCCTTTAAGGAATGATTCTTTCTCAGATTATTCTGTCATTCGTGGTACCCTGCAATTTTATTCCAAGTCCCCAGGATCTCCAAAGATCCACAAACACAAAGAACAAAACTACAATAGGATACTTATACTTTAGATCTTTGTAGATCGATCACAATGACAACTCCCCTACCATATGTGAACACCTAAAGGTAATGCTGAAAAGGAGCCCTGTAGGACTGTAGGGTAAGCACTGCACTGTTAACCACAAGGTCAGTAGTTCAAACCCATCAGCCACTCCTCTGAAACTCTCTATAGGGTTGCCTATGAGTCAGAACTGACTCCACAGAACTTAAAAACAACAACAAACCAAAATCAACTCCAGATATATGGAGCAATGCTTGTCTTACCTATAGGACAGATCACCTTATCCATATGCCTTACCCATATGTTGCTGTTTTATACATATGTTATCATTGTTATTAACCTTGTATAGGGTTTCTGAGGAGCAACTGGTGTGTTTGAACTAATGACCTTTTGGTTAGCAGTTCAGTGCTTACCCTACAGCACCACATCAGGAATCCATATGGGAAAGTACATTTCACAGAAAAGGACTCCAGGATTCAGAGATGTCACAGGTCATACTATACCACAGCAAGGATTTAGCCAAAGCTAATTGTTGTTTTTGTTGTTGTTAAATGCTGTTGAGTCAATTCTGCCTCATTGCGGCCCTGTATAGGGTTTCTGAGGTACGGTTGGTGAGTTTGGACCATCGACCTTGCTGTTCAAACCTACCCTAAAGTTGAATGCGTATCCTATGGCGCTTACACTAGGACTCCATCAAAGTCAACTAGGGTTCTTCTATTTTGATGAACCACAGCTTCAAGAAAGAACGTGTGTGCCTGCATTCTCCATCATGAAATGCCTGTGCCTCTTGGCATTATGACTGCAAATTCTGCCTATTCTCTGTGAATGCTCACTCGAGTAATGTGACTTCAGCCACAGGAAGAGGGGACAGAATGGTACAGGTTTGGAAATTGCTTGGCTTTGCAGTGGCATTTAAAACATAAACTCCTTTCATCCTTACTAGCTCCTCTCCCCTGAATACAGGTCAGCCTGAACACAGAATTAGGATAGTGCAGAAAAATGAGGATGGAGACAATTCAGAGGTTGCATCAATTCTCCTTTCTTCAAACAGGGGTGAGATGTCTTCCTTCTTCCTAACAGGCCAGTCCTCCTCTAGAGAGCAAAGATAAACTCCTGAAGCTCCTGTCAGTAAAAACATAATGGAGCCTATAAAGCTCATCTAAGCACATGGAGATAGGCTGAAAATAACTGAAGTCTTGAGGCTTTTCTTCTTTTTCTTTCTTTATTTCTACTATCATTGTGGGCATTTTCTTGGCAAGATGCACTGACAAGTAGAGGTAGGGAGCCCAGGCTTTCAAAATAGAGACCCAAATCCTGGCTTTCTCATGAGACAATGGGGCCTAGTTTCCATGCCCACATCATGCAATTCTTAACTTGTTATATGGTCCAGAGAAAATAAATCATTATCTTGAAAATAAATCATATCTCCAACAATCTTGTCTATAAATTGCTTTTTTTTTAAACCTGAGACACTTGGAAAACATGGGAAGAAAACCTCTGCATTGGAAAGCAAGCAAATATTTTCTTATGAAAATATTTAGCAGTTTCTATTGCTAAGAGATGCAATTAATTCCCCCACTTTGTCTCTGTATATTCAGAGTGGGTGCACACCCAGCAGGCAGTTACTCTCTGCTTTTTAAAAATCTCTCCCATCAGTTTCTAAATGAATGATTATACAAAGCCAAGCAGAGAGGAGAAACAATTCACTGGAGACCTCTTAGACTTGGTAGCCTGAAATAATTTTCTTTAGGTTTTATAATGTTAGAAATGTTCTGGGGAGAGTTCCCAATGGCTGTTCATTGCCTTTTGTCTACTTTAGTCTTGTAAGAATTAACTTAATTAAGGATGATTTATACATATGTATAGAGTCCTGGTTTGGCGCTGTGGGTTAGTGTGCTGGACTGCAAAGTCGATTTGAACCGCACAGTGGTTCAAGTTCAACAGCCAGCCCTAGAGAACCCTATATGGGGTCGCTATGTGTCAGAACCTACTCAAAGGCACTTAACAACATGCGTATGTATGAAGCTGTGGACTAAAGCACTAGAGAGAAAGGTCCATTTGAACCTCAAGGTTGGTAGTTCAAACTTAGCAGCTCCTTGGAAACCTTACACAGGGTCACTATGAATCATAACCATCTGGATAGCACTTAACAACAACAACAACCTCTCTGACTCAGATCCTGAAATTAATCCTAGAAGTGGCTGGAAAAAGAGATGGAGTCTGCAGTCAGACTGTCCCTCCCCTTGGCTGCCCCATGGCAAATAGCCTCCCTCCCCAGTTTACTTTCTCTTCCACCTCTTGTCCTAGTTGAACTGCAAGTCATAAAGAGTAAACCAACTGGATGCTTTCCACTTAACTAAGAGCATCTTGAAGATTAAGATCCCGAAGGAGAGGTAGAACTACACAACATTCAAAACACAGACACAGTTAGTCACGGCTCACCTTCACCAAGTGTACTAAGACGTTTTTCTTTATTCCACACCAAACAGGTCATAGCAGACTCTCATCAATGGCATTTTTACGACCAGAAAATTGCCATTTTAAATCCAGGGTCCCACCACCAGTGTGTCTGAATTTGGAAGCAGTTAACAGCTCTTGTGTACTGGCATGGCTCTAGCAAACACTTTCTGGGGTTTTTCTTTCAGCCCCCCTCTGGCCACATACACAGCTTGCACACCAGAAGCCCAAATGTACATTTGTACCCCCAGGAGAAGTTTGTGATTTAAATTAATGAATATGCTGACCCCTGAGCACGTTGTCTTTTGTCATAATCCTTGCTGGGGAGGTGGGGCACTTCCAGGCCACCGTAGTCTTTGAATCACTAAGAACAGCATGTGCTCCAGGCTCCTGCTCCTCCCCTGTCCCAGTCTTCATTTAGGTGACATTATCTTTGAAGAAGCAAAGAGAAGCCCAACTACTAGATAATGAGAAAATACAGATTTCCAAGCAATATACTTGGTAGGGAGAGGTTGTGAAAACGACACTTCATTGTTTGTTTTCTGGGACCATTAGTATAAAAATACAAAAAACAAAAAGCTGTGACAACTCTACCCATTACCTCAGTTAGAGGCCCGGGTGGGCTGAAGCTGGGAGAAAGGGGGACTAACGGAGGAGTGGGAGCTGCTGAGTCCTAGGTGATGGAGGAAGCACTGACTGGGACTTTCTCTGATGGGGGAGTAAGGGTTCGTTCGGGTGTCAGGAATTAAGGGAAATAGAGTCCACAAAAGGAAGAAGAATAAGGGTTTTGTCCTGATGGACCAGGAAAAAGAGACCAAAGAAGCAAGTTAACAGAGAAAGAAGGCGGGAGAAAGGAGGAGCAAATAAAGTGTACAACGGGAAGGAAGGAAAAGACAAGGATAAGAGATGAGGGAAAGAGGACACAGATAAACCTGGGGAGTGTGAGGGGGAAATTAGGCTAGCAGGGAGGCCCTGACAAAGGGGCAACAGTATAAAACCAAAAATCAGAAAAGAACTAAGAAACGCGGTCGGTAAAGAAAGTTTGGCAAGCTAGGTGGGCATGCAGGACTGGGCGGGCGGAGCAGCGCCCAAGGTCTGGCTCCAGCGTTGCGCGCGTCCTAGTCTCCTCTGGTCGGTCCCGTCTGCGCGCTGCATCCGCACGCTGGTCCGCTTCCTCCGGGCTCGACTCGGGCTCGGGGAGAGCTGCGCCTAGGAACTGGAGGCCGGGATGGGCAGTCCGTGTATGCTCCCCAGGGCATCGGGGGCCTTGGTGCCGGGGCTAGGCGGCTTCCTGTCTGCTGCTGAGGAAGAAGGACAGGGTTGTCGGGTGATGGTTTAGCGCGGCGCGGGGAGAGACCCAGGACCTCCCTAGGCCCGCCCACTCGGCTGCTTCTATGGGCTAACGCAGGCGGCGGCGAGCGCGCTAGAAACCCAAAGGGTGTGCTGAAGACAGTAGGTCCCCACTCTCTCGAAGGGCCCCGCCTGCCCTTCGTGCCAGCTCTTACCCTCCCGGAAGACAGACATTGGTTTCTCTGCAGGGCTCCTTGGTAGGCCGTTTTCTCAGCGTCCCCTGATCCTCCGCCGTAAGCCAATCTCTAGGCCACCCCACACCCCTTCCTCTGACCCCCGCTGCAGAACTTTGCTTGTTGTGGGGAGTTCTTCAGATTTGACTTCAGGGAAAGATAGTGGAGTTGAAATATTCGGGACCCTGATGCCACCTCCACCAACCTTAATCCTGCTCTAGGACCGCGGCCATCAAAGCCTCTCCCAGCTTATTAACACCAGTGGCTCAGGACATTTACAGTGGATAAGGACAAATTGTGCGGAAATCTAACCACTAAAACTCCCTTCCCGGGGCGGTCAGGAATACTCTGACTTCGGACGGAAACCCACTTGCCTAAATTGTACCCGGGCCCCTAAAATACACTGCTTACTACTATGGGCATAAGCTCGTCCTGGAACGACCCCACCCCCCGCCAGACAGTGGATTTGTCAGATCATTGGGCATTAGTGAGATGCTGTTGTTATTTGGGGTTTGGGAAAGGGTCCAATAGCATACTGTTGGAAACTTGAAAGTGACACTAAGGTTGCTCAACTCCTATTTTCCTCGGAGGCTCGACTTCTGCACAAGGAACACAAGCTTGTTTACACCTAAACGGGTCTATTTTCTGTTTTCTTTTTTCTCCAACATGTTACTTTAAAGGGAAACTTGGAATGCCTTGATTTGGGGTGAGAGAGAACTCTGGATTTTTTTTTTTTTTTTTTTTTTTTTTTCAATTTCCCAGCAGACCACATGCCCAACCACGGAGACGCTGCCCAGGGCCAACAACCAGGAGTCTTTCTTTCTCTTTCTCTCTCTCTCTTAGAAAATTGTTAGAGTGTAGGAAGGAGGGAGCAGTCTAAAAACAGAAGGGGTCCCTTTGCTTCCTCCACCCCAGCTCTCTTTCATGAATAACAGTTATGACAGCACAACAAGAGAGCTTTTCAGATCTTTTTTCTTCATCCCTTACACACTCCATCCCTAAACAGGTGAGGACCTGTTTAGAAAACTTTTGAGGAGGAGGAGGCTTCTTGGCATTTGCACTTGCCAATTACCTTAGAGACAAGCCCAAAAAGGAACCCTTGAAAAATAAACACCAGGGAGCCTTGGGCAGACTCCACCCCACCCTGCAGGGACAAATCAAGCTTTGAGTTTCAGCTACTGGCTTCTCCTGTGGTCTCCCCATAAGACCTCTTCTCCCTTCCTTTCTCACCCCTGAGATCCCCAGGCAATGATAGTGTGTATGTTAACTGGGCCCCCCTCTAGGGATTCTGCAGGATCATTTAAACTCAGGAGGCAGGTATAGAGACAGACATTTTCAAATATTGGGTCATAATTTGCCTGCCTTTCAGGTTGCCCTGGAATGCTTGAAGGGAATAGGGAGAAAGTGCAGGACTGAAAAGCAGTTGGGTCAAATGAGACTTGCAGCAGGTTGCAACAGCAACATTTGCTTTTAGGATTCTCCAAGAACTAATTTTTGAGCGGAGATAACTGGAAGGAAGGTTCTTTTTAACAAAACACATTTTTGTGTGTGTGAATAGATTCTATAAATCCCTAATTCTGAATGTCCATCCAAGAAGAATTTACACTTTCCAAAGTCTAGCCAAGAAGAATTCAGAACCATGGGGATTTGGATGGTTTCTGAAAATACTCTGATTAACACTAGTTACCTTGAGGGGACTCCTGTTGGATCTATCACTTGCCTGGCTGGGGAAAAATATGGGCATGACTTGACTATGAAAAGACATTTTAATAGTTGGTGAAATTCCTTGAGTGCAAGCCCCTCAACGTGTGGATCAAATGTAACTCCTGTTTTTCTCTTGTTCCTAAGAATGAAAATCTCCTTTTCTAGGATGGATAATATACATCTTATTTTCTTGTCTATATAATAGGGAACTCGAATGCACTAAGGTTTACCAAGAAAAAAAATCAATAAATTGTAATGCATAATTTGGTATTTGATTAGGTTTTCCTTGAGATGTTCATTTACAGAACAATAGATGTTGTGCGCCCTTGAACAGATCTTGACCTATGAATGTCCCTAAAGGTCAGAGAAGACCTGGCACTTGGCTGTAATCTTTAATGTAATATTTACAACAACAAATTACTGGGTCTTCTCCCTCCAAACCACTGGTGGGTTCAAACTAGAGACCTTCAGTGAACTCTTTATCATTGCAGCCACCATGGCTCTTCCACTTTCTATCTATTATCTATATCTGTACTATACTATCTATTATTTATACTAGATGATAAAAAATATTTGGTTTTTGCTGAGCAAAATGTCATGCTTCTTTGTAAATGCTATTGCTACCATTTTTTTATGATTCAAACAATTAATGATAGTAAATTGTCTCATGGGATACGTACCAATGAAGATATTAATATAAGTAATTATTTGAAAATAAAAGGCAAAGATTCAAATTACTTTGTCTTTTCAAAGACCACTAGGATAGTAGAAGTACATTTTTGACCTGAGTTTCTATAAATGAGAAAAGGAATAAGACATCTATAATTCAAGTGAGTATGCAATTCTCACCATGTGAAAAATGTCAGGTAGCTCATGATTTTGTTTTAAAATCCCAGTCAAAGAGATACACTTGTGTGCCAGCTTGAGAAATCATGTTTTTAAATGATGGACTTGATTTACTTAATACTCCTTTATCCATACCCTTAAAAAAAACATGAAGATCAGGAAATGGTTCATTTTCTAACTAGTGTTGTTAATTATTGCTACATTTTTAATGGGATGCAATGTTTCATAATATAAATGGTAACCGTGTTGAGGGTGTCAGGAAAAGCACACAGTTCTGGATTTCTGAAGGGAAAGTATCTCCTAAACAAAATAGCCTAAATGTTGAAAACTCTCCCCTGAATTAACTATAATTAGTTTGGAATTCAGAACTGGATGTTTTAGCTTTGGATGTAGTTTGTTTCAAATGTAGCTATTGTTTCAAATGTAGCTATTGGAATGCCTTAATCGAAGAGGCTCTATTAAAAATTACCTCTGATGACAGATTACTAATTCTTCCTTTTCCTTTGAATCAACTCAGAAGAAATCATTTAAATTTGTGGATATACTTTTCCAATTCAAATAAACCAGCTTAGCTAAGCAGCTTGTTGTTGAATATAATTAAGTCAATTTCATTTCAATTTCTTACTTAACTGATAACCCAGGTTGTTGAGAAGATTAAAGGCCAAGGACAAGAGAGTTAAGCACTGATACTAGGACCCATTATCTGTCCTTGCATTTAAAATATAAAGGCGATCTAATTCTCAACTTTTAAAATGTCCTTCACTTAAGATTCTCCCATCACTGACCAGGTGATATTACCCTATTATTTAAATTTAATTTAAAATTAAATCATAAAGAAATCTTAATTCTCAAATTTTATAAATTTTCTTTACTTGAATTTGCCTGTAATTAAGCAAATTATCATTATCCTAATATCTCAGGGTTTTTTTTGTTGTTTTTTTTCCGGAAATACAGAAAAATACTTCTGCTCCTCCATTGGTTATTATCAATGGCACCTTAATCCTTCTCCCACTCCCCCTACTTTCTTGCTCTTAGATCATGTCACCAGAGATGACTTAATTATTTGTAAATAGTACTTTTTACCTTGGCTTTACCAAGGTGGAAGTCCCCACCAGTCCTGCCTGCCCCATTGCATACTGCCTCCCTTTTTTTGACTCCCTCTTCCCTACTGCCTCCAACCTGCCAAACCTGAGGTAGAGGTAGGTCAGGTAATAAAGGTCCTTCAGTAATAATAGGAACCTCCCTCCCTCTGCCCAGCTAAACTCCCTGCTGGGTCTGGGATGCCCTGGAATGCCTTCCATTTCCAAGTCCTTTGCAAACTACTGGCCCATCAGAATCTAAACATAGACAAGTTGTAGATCATGAAATCCAGTCACCTCTTTTCCTTTTATAAAAATGATGACTGAAGGAAGGATGAGATTTTTTTTCAAGTTAAAATTGAAACCAGAACCAAAGGTCAGTCAGTGTAAGAAGATATCCTTCATACTGCTGCTGGCTGCCAGTGAAGTACCTCCAATTGGTTTATCAGGGAGAGGATTTAAGAAAGAGATTTAAGAGAAGGAGGATGATAAAGAGAAAAAGAAGCAGAACTCCTGACCACATTTCATGAACAGAAAAAAAAAAAAAAAAGGAAGGGTTAGAACCATAGAGTTCAAAACATCCAGGACTAAGGGACACAGAACTAAAATACTCTTTGTATTCCACAGGATACGTTTAAAAAAGGAGAGTGACCCACTGCCAATAAATCAATTCTGACTCATAGCGACTCTGAATCTTTATGGGAGCAGATAGCCTCATCTTTCTCCTGAGGAGTGACTGGTAGGTTCGAACTGCTGACCTTATAAGTGGCAGTCCAGTGTTGAATCCTACAGCACCACTAGGACTCTTAAAGAGAGACCAGGGCCTGGTTAAAAGGGGGGGGGGGAAAGAACCTTAACCCTTGAATGCAAGCCCCTCAACATGTGGATCAAGTGTAACTTTCCTAACAGATGATCAGTGCCCGGGAAAGATCAGGCTCCTCCACTGGTCTCAGACATTAAGGCAATTCTCCACAGACCACAGAGAGACGGAGCTGGAAGATGGTTTCTAAACTCCTGTATGGATGGAGAGAAAAACACAGGCCCCAGAGACAAGCAACAATTTGACCAAGGGCTCAAAGGCTCCATCTAAACCCAGGAGTCTTGCTTGCCAGCCTAACCCTCTTTCTCCTCTCTTCTTATACTTAGGGGGCCCTATTCTCAGATGGTAGCGTAGTGGTTACGAATCGGGCTGCGAACCTTAAGGTCAGCGGTTCGAAACTACCAGCTGCTCTGCGGGAGAAAGATGAGGCTTTCTACTCCAGTAAAGATTTACACCCTTGGAAACCCTGTACAGGGTCGCTATGGGTCGGAACCGACTCGACGGCACTTAACAACAACAACAATTCTCAGATGGAGGACAAACCTGGAACCCCTCTCAACCTCAGTGTACCTTTCTAGAAACATAGGCATACACCTGCTAGAAATTAACTTGATCTAAAAAGCTACATGCACAATATTTAACTAGGAAGATGTCATGTATCACCAGAATGGGGTATTACAGGTGCTCTTCCCTCAACTTCTTTCTTTCCTTTTTCTTTCTTCCATTATCACTTTTTTTCTCAGGCTCATATCCACTTCTCTGCATCCCTCTTCATTCACAGGTCACCCATCCCACCCCTCCCCATGCCCATCCATGTCCCTCACCTTCTCGGCTGGGATGCTTGAACATCATTGCTGCAGCAAGTTCCCCACCGTGTACTGCCACACTGGCCCCAGGTGGTGCCAATGGGGGACCCTGTGCTGGAGGCCATGGGGGACCTGGGGCCAGGTAGCCACTGCCAGGCGCGCTGTACACACTGTGCTGGTTGGAGGCAGGGTAGGCACAGGCCGGGAGGAAGCTCCCCACTGCTGAGAGGCTCGTGGTTGACTAAGGGTAGAGGGGACAGATAGTCAGCCAAGAGTATTCCCATGGTCTCCCTCCCTGGCTTCTCTAGCACAGAAGTAGAGAATCCTTGTGGACTGGCTTCTAATTTTACTAGTAAGGGCTCTTTTGTTTTTTTCCCCCATATATAACTTCACATAGGTTATATATGACCAATCTAATGGTCATTGTTGTTGTTATTAAGTGCCATCAAGTCGGTTCCGACCCATAGCAATCCTGTATAGGGTTTCCCCCAACATGGCTTTTCAAATCGACTTTGTAGTCCAGCATGTTAACCCACAGCACCATACCAGGACTTCTCTAAGGGTCATATATAACCTGTATTTTTAAATCCACTCTAATTGTAATAATACAACTAGAAGTGGGTATATAGAATTTATTCTTGATTTAGAAAAAGTGGGTCCTTACCCTATCTGTGGTTCAGGATTCTAGTTTCTATAGCAAACGTATCTTGGTCAAAGGCAAATCAGTCCCCCTTCAAAGCCCGCCAACCCAGTAGCTAGAAAAAAAGGAGAGATATACACCAAGTAGACACACTTCTCCTAGTGCTCAATTGACTTCACAAGTTTTCTCTATTTCCTCTTCCTCTCTTCTCTTTTCCCTTTCTCTTCTATGTATCTCTTTCCTCTCCTCTCTTTTCTCCCTCTCAGTCTCAGTCTCCCTGTTTTCCATCCATTCTGCTCTCTTAGTTAAGGATAAGTACCCTGCTACTCAGTTACCTGAGGGTATTTAATATCCACCTCCAAGGCGGTTTTCTCAAGCCCATTCACTGCTTGGGTGGCAGAAAATGTGGTTCGATTCACGCTGGCCCAGTCTTCCATCTTGGGGGAATAAGTGGCACCTTCGCTCCCAGCCAGGGCCCCTGCTGGGGGCACATGACAGATTAGAAGGGCAGAGCAGAGCACTGTCCACCTGCCTAGGCATTTACACAGGTGCTTACAGTCAGCTTATATACACAGGCCTAGCCGAGGGGTTCTCCAACAGCTAAGGGTGGTCAAATTCTCAGAGACCAGAGGTGGAGTGGCCCAAATGTTAATTTCAGTCCTAGAGGGGCAGAGCAGAGAAAGACAGTGGCGCCTGCTCCTCACTCCTCCCAGCTCTCCTTGTCCCGCTTCCCCTGAAATGGCAGGTTTGGTGGAAAGGCAGCTTGTGGGGTTAGAGGCTAGGCAATGTCAGCCAAAGCACCCACTCAGCTATCCAGAGGTGCATGGAAAGGAATGCTGGGTGCCCGTTACAATTCCACAACAGCCTCTTGAGTATTACAAGGAGATCCTTTCAGTAGAATTTATAGATAAGTGGGAACAGGTGCATACAGTTCTAATTTAGACTTCAGTGCAAGAAAAGTTCAAATTGTTTTCAATGATTTAAGAAGCAACTGCAGCACAAGAAAGTGACTGATGAGAAATTTATTGAGTAGGAATTGGGTACTTTCAAAATAAGGTCAAATTTACAAAGCATTAAAAGGTAAAGACCAGCAGTTGAAATGCACCAGAAACTCCTAGGAAACCTATACAGGGTCAGTATGAGTTGCAACCTACTGGACTGGATGGCACTTAACAACAACAACAGTAATGAGTTGTTTTTTAAGTCAGACTTTAGTAAATGGGGACTTAACTGTACATTGGTTTCTCAAAGTCTCAACAAGCATCTGGAGGTCTAGGAAACTATCCTGCTTGGAACTACTTTCAAAGACTCCAGAGTCTCCCCCCAGACAGGCGGCAGGCGGCCTCTTGATCAGTTTGTGACTCTGGTGCAGATGTGTTCCCTTCACACCTGTGCTCCAACTGGACTGAAAGTTTCAGGTCTGAGTACAAGCCCTGGAGACCACCTCCCCGCCAGCCCAGCTGCTCTGAGGGAACTTTTGGTTCCAGCCACCAGGAGAGACACAGAACTGTGAGACCACAGAAACACTCAGACTGCTGTTAGAGGTAAGCATTACCAGTCAGTCATTTTCCCACCACCGCTTCTGTCTCCTGGGCTACTGGAAGTCTGTCATTTATGCTCTTAGGAGTACTGCTATCCCCCACAGGCTGCTGGCGGAAAGGGACAATACTAAAAGATAAGAAACCCAGTTTTGGTCCACCCACTGTAATGAGCAGTGCATGGAGGTTGCCTGAAAGCTTCCCCTTCCTTACCACCTCCCACTACTTAGAGAGATGACCAATAGTGTGTTTTTTCATTATAGGCCAAGGGCAAGTCCTTGTGAGTTTTCACCCCAAAGATGCCCTTGCTATAATCATTGAAGATCCCCAGTCTAGTACTAGGACCTACAAGGACAGGGACCTACTGAAGATCTAGGCCACATTAAGTAAGACTGACCACAAATAGGCATCTTTCCCTGTAATTAAAAAAAAACCAAAAACCTGGCTGTATCTGCAATAGACAGGAATGCACTCTTTGGGTTCATCTTTTGGGGTACATTGAGGATGGTGAGAGATCCAGAAAACTAAAGAAAAGGTCCAAGAATTTCCGGAGCCGTTTGTTTGGCTTAGATCTGGAGATAGGGGGTTGAATAGTTTTTACAAGAATGAAAAGGCGAAATTTCAGGCCTCCGAATTTGTGGTCGGCGATTGCTCTTCCATTTGGGAAATATTTTCCATATTTGTCATAAAAAGTTCAAGATGTCCGAGGGCTCCTACAGAAGACTCGCACCCCCAGAGCTTCCCCTGCTAGCCTCCAGCCCTACCCTAAGCCCGAATCCGTACGGGATGGTGGATAAGCGTGACATCCCCACCCCACCCACCCACCCCCATTAACCAAATTAAAGA